CTGCTCATATTTGTTGATTTAAATTAAAGTCTAGTTGTTTTGAAACCTACATGAAAGACATTTTCTGTACTGGAAAATATTAACATAACCCATCATTTAACAATGACTCTTCTGTGATTAATTCAGGGAAAGTTTCCTCTTCCACAGCCCTCTGTAAACATAGACTTAGCTGTAAAGTAGTCACCGCTCCAAGCTCGCTCTTGTGATGGACTACAGTCTCAAAGCAACTGAGTAAACACAAGATGAGAGTGTAGTCCTTCCCAGGAGCCAGCTTGGAGCGGTGACTACTTTACAACACACACAGGGACCATGGGGAACAAAAGTAGCCCCCCTCCAGGAGGAAATACAGTGTCAGCACCAATTCAGAGATGATTGGAGGATCTACAGCCAAACGATATACAAATACGATACATTGTTGTTCATAGTTAAGATGCTAGAATGTATTTCTAAAAAGTAACTCCCGAGTTTAGTGTCACTTTAAGCATTGTGTTTATACAATGTGTCATTTATCTGCCCAAAATAGTTACAATTTAGGTAATAATTATCCTTTTATATTTAGTTCCTACTAAATATCTGTGCTATTTTCAGGATACACTGCCGGTATTCCCAAGGAGCCCCGAGACATAACCATGAGGGACTGCTCTGCAAATCCTCCGGTGAGATATTGGGAGTAGGAAATGGGTGTTTGTCAGCAAAAGTATTCTTTATAACGGAACTCTAAAGTCAGGGAAACGCCACCTGTGTCCCGGCATCTGTCATTGATAATGTTTTTGGTAATTAACCCCTTTAGTACTGGAGCAATTTTTTAATTTTTGCACACACACATCCTAAAATCTGAATTTTCAGAAAGAAAATTACTTTATATCCCCGAGCAATTCTATATTTTCTGAAAGCAGAGGCACTGTAGAATGAAAAAATTATAGCTGAATTTTTTATGTTGCATTATATTCACGCAAATGTTTATCAAATTGATAGTATTAGGAAAAGTAAAACACTAAAATGGATTTCTACTGCAAACACAATATAATACCCGTTTTTTGGTAAAAAATAAAAGGAGGTCACGTCGAGTAAATAGATATCAAAGATATCATGAGTTCAAATTAGGCGCGCCTGTGCCATGGTGAGAAATAATGGTATTCAAAATAGCCTTTACCGCTCATCAGTTTGGAGTTAAGAGCCAAGTTATGGCCACAGAGTTATTGTTCTCACTCCGATGTTCGTAGCGATACCTAACATGTGTGATGAAATTGTTGTTTACTTACATGAGCAAGCGTGTTTATCCACAGGCAGATGGCAAGGTTGGTTTTCATTTTGTAAAATTTTGATTTTATTATTTTTTACTGTTTTTAACACTTTTCTTTTCACTTAACTTTATTGCTTTCACAAAGTGAATAACAAGCCCCTATGTGATAGCATTTGGAGGTGACAAGTTCTCCTTATGGAGACATCTGGGGTCCCCTTCCCTCCAATACAAACATTTAAGCACAGGATTTTCCTCGATCGCTTGTGCAACCAGCACTTCAACCAGCTTTTGACAGCCCTGAAGCAGGAAGCACCGAGAGCACAGCAGTAGTGGCAGTGGGTGGGGTGATCTGATTTAGAATGGATTGCTGTCATCAGAGGCTTATCAGCCGCTAATGACTGCTATTCATTTACACAGAACAGTCAGGGGGACGTTTCTGTTATCAGTGGCGTCACAAGGGGGTGCGGCATGCACCTGGGTGACACCATTGGAGGGGTGACACCAAAATGACTGACAGTCATTTTGGTGTCACCCCCTCTAAAAAGTCGGGCACTGGACCAAGAGTCCGACAGTTTCAGGAGAGACCCTACCTCATCCCGTTGGGTGAACGTCCCCTCCTCTCTCTGCCGGCGTGCACCACCAAGATGGCCACCAGCAGGCGTCAATTAGATGACCGTGCATGCACGTTGTCGCCATCTCTCCAGGTGACACCCGGCATCGGAACTCCCCTGTCTGTTATCAGTTCCCGGTTGCTGAAGCGACCATGAGCTTATAGCGGAAGGCTGAATGCAGCCGATGTAAGGCATGCTGAGCTGGCCAGCCGGGGACATTTTTGTTCCGTCGTATGCCTTTACGTTGGTGGCAGGGAAAGGGTTAAATAATCAGCCTCTTGCAGTCCCTGTGCAGCTGAACTCAAGGAAGGGGAAGGAGAAGCAGCACAAGGAGCTAATCAGTTCATATGGTAACAAGAAGCATAATGATAGGGGAAGAGAACAGAGTGATAGAGAGAGATGAGCTTATCACTTGCTGCTTCTACTGTCACTGTCCGGTCACAGGCTGGGGGCGGGTCCAGGATGTCCTGGGCTCAAAGGAAGTGGGTTGAATGATGCTGGCCACCGGACTGAGGATATCTAGTGGTAGAAAAAAAACCCTCTAGATTGAAGGTGTTAATTTTGCAGCTAAAGTGAGGGAGGGGAAGAACGAGGGAAGGCAAAATATTTTATTTATAATGTTATTGTTGTTAATGAATATGGAAGGTGGTGATGAGGATCACATTTGTTATTTCTGTTATGATTATTTTACTATCTTATTTTGCACCCAGTATATTCCACCCACTGCAAAGATTTCTACAGAAGACCTGAACAAACTCCGCCAGGAAATGAGAAACCACAACATCAGCGCTTACATCATCCCTCCGACTGACCCCCACCTGGTGAGAAGAATAATGTCCTTCTTCCTAATAACCTGAGTAATTTCAGAATAGGAAAGTGCTAATTGTGTCATAGAGACTTGGAGACCCCCTACTGTACTTTGGTGTAGGTTTATACCGCAGCCCCTCCCCCCTCCCAGACTGCTTTTAAGATAAGGGTTCAGACTTCCCACAGCCCTCGGCTTTCTGCATAAAGGCAACAGCCACACACACATAGCTTTAGTTTTATCCTAGGCATCATTGTGACAATTAAACGATCAGTAAGTGCTGTAGGGATTCCCTACAACATCCTTTCTCAACCTTTTTCTTACCTCAGAAGGTCCCCTCAATTAGTGGTCTGGTCTCCCTGCTTAAATGATTATGCATACAAATCATGGTATGTTAGACACACCACATTGGTGTTCAATGAGAGATTGTGCCCTTACACTATTGGTCAGTGAACAGAATACCCTGGTGGCCATTATAATGGTGATCTTTGTAGCGGTCCCATACATTGGGGGACAGTGGGGAGAATGCTCCTTACATTGGTGGTCATTAGGAAGAGTGTCCATTAAACTGGTGGTCTTTGTAGTGGCCCCATACATTGGGGGGGACAGTGGGGAGAATGCTCCTTACATTGGTGGTCATTAGGAAGAATGGCAGTTATACTGGTGATCCTTTTAGTGGCCCCATACATTGGGGGACAGTGGGGAGAATGCTCCTTACATTGGTAGTCATTAGGAAGAAAGCCCATTATACTGGTGGTCTTTGTAGTGGTCCCATACATTGGGGGGACAGTGGGGAGAATACTCCTTACATTGGTGGTCATTAGGATGAATGCCCATTATACTGGTGGTCTTTGTAGTGACCCC